AAAGAGTCAGGGTAGGATTCTTCACCAAAGCCTTCAGAGAGAGCATGGCCTGGCGAAACCTTGAGTTAGGACTTCTAGCCTCCAGAACTATGAGGGAATGAATTTCTGTTGTTTTAAGCCACTCGCTGTCTAGTAATTTGTTATGGCAGCCGCAAGAAATTAGTACACCCCCAAAACCTTCCTTCACCTACTTTCCCTAAAGATACTGTTCTTTCCATCTTATCTTCACTGTCACATTTCTTTAGTCACCCAAATTTGATACTGTTATTTCTTTATTCTCAACCCTTAAAATTTGGTTCTTGCCACTACCCAAACCACTTTCCCCTAATAATCTTCTGAAATTTCTCTCTAGAAAAATCACTAAAGACATCCTAATTTCCAAATTTAGTAACTTTTCTAGTTCCCCTTACTCATTGCTCTGCAGTATTTCACACACACACACTTGAAACATTATCCTGGTGTAGCACAATGCTTTCCTGGTTCCTCCTCTGCTAACCTTTCTCTTCTTCTGTCTCCTAAGTGCAAAGCTTCTTTAACGTTAATCCCCCCTCATCTTCTCTTTTCTCTCTTATCAACCTCATTCAGTCTTAGGACTTCTAATACACCTCTAGTCCTGAGCCACTTTACTGAGTTTAAGTCACACATTTCGTAGATGTTCCACTCCATAACTGAGTTCACAAGAGCTTTCCCAAACTTGCTCCTCTTACCTGTTTCAATTACCATCTCTAGTATTACAATCCTCCTGGTCACACAGACTTGAAATCTACTACTCAAGTTTTTATTCCTCCTTTCCCTTGTTGCCTTGTACTGAATCAGTGACGAAGTCCCATCAAATGTACTTTCAAATTATTTTGCACCTTAGCACTCTAAATCAAAGTTTCTCAACCTCTACACTACTGACATTTTGGGCTAGATAATTCTTGGTTACAGGGGCTGTCCTGTGTATTGTAGGATGTTCTGCAGCATCCTTGGCCTCTACTCGCTAGTTACCAGCATCACCCCACTCCCCAAACTGTGACAACCAAAAACGTTCCCAACATTTCTGAATGTTCTCTGGGGGACAAAATTGTCTCAGTTGAGAACACTGCCCTAGGTGAAGTCTTCAATACTTCTCACCTGAAAAAATGTCATAGCATTTTAAGGAGTCCAGATATTAGTACAACATACATTTAATAAAACTGCCTGGCACATAGTAAGTTCTGAATAAATATTTTCTTGGATGTGTATGTATGTATGTGCACATACGTGTGCATATACGTAAGTACATATGTATGTATATGTGTGTGTGTACATATGTATGTGTATGCTTGAATGAAATTTCAGATACTATACTAGCTGGAGTGTACAAAGATGAATCAGAGACAGTCCCTTTGGGGCAGTGACTGTCTAAAAGCTGGTTAGTATTCCAGAAAATGGACACTGCATGTTATAGGAACACAGGTAAAGGACACTTAGGCAACAGCAGAGATGGCTTCCTGAGCAGCACGCTTGGGCTGCTGAGTCTTCAAAGGAAAAAAATTAAGTGAAAGTATTCCAAATAGAGGACATACCATATCACCTCAAATCCATTCTACATACTATCTGATTAATCCTTCCAAAGTGCAATCATAATCACATGATTCATTAGTTTAAAAACTTTTGGGTTCTTCTCCTGTTTAAAATTTAGAAAGCTACAGAGAATGTTGCTACTACCTTAACTACAAGAAAAAACTAGAACAATTTATAAAATCATAACTTTTCTTGAACCCATCAGAGAACAGAGGTCACGGGAACCAAGGAAACTAATTTCAAAGAGTGACAAGGCCCTCTGAGGAGAGATGGGACACAAGAACTGTCTCACTTTCGGCAGAGTATAGGAAGAAGAGGTGAACGCCATAGAAACAAAGAAGAAGAAAACAACTAACATTTTAACAAACTCCCAAAAGCCAAATGTGGACCAGCACATGTTTAGAATAAGTGAGAACCCTAGCCATAAAGGCAGTTTGCACTTGCTCACAAGCTCTCTATCGGCCTCCAGGAGGTGCTCACAAGCAACACTAGGGTCAGGGCAGGAAACCACAGAAAGTCACTTTCAGTAGCACAGGCAAGCAGGAGGTGACTGGCTGCCCCTAGGGAAAAAGAGTAAATGCCACCCACTTCCCCAAACCCTCCTCTTGTACAGAGGAAAAGTATGAAGTCACTGAGAAGTGGCACCAGACTTTTTCATCCCTGGGCCCACTGTGTGAGCGGTAGAAGCAAATCATGGCTGCTCCTGAGAGAAGGACAAAAACACCTTAAGCCCAGGATCATATACCAATCAAAGCACAGGTTGACTTCCACTGGAGGAGGAACAGGAACACTGAAAGGCTCTACATCCAAGGACTCACCTTACCTCATTTCAAGAATTATAATAATGCTACAGTAGTTAAGACAGTGTGGTACTGCTGTAAAGATCAATGAAATGGAAAAAAGTCCAAAAATAGACCCACACAAAAAGAGTCGACTGATTTTCTACAAAGGTGCCAATGGAGAAAGGATAGTCTTTTCAACAAAAGGTACTGGAACTACCCAAAAAAATGAACACTGACTCATACTTTGCACTATATACAAAAATTAACTAGAATTGGATCATAGACTTATATTTATAAAACCTAAAACAATAAAACTTCTGGAAGGAAACAGTGGAAAATATCTATGTATTGGATTATACAAACATTTCTTAGGAGAAGAATCATGAACAATAAAAGAAAAAATGATAAGCTGTAGTTCATCAAAATTAAAAACTGCTCTCTGCAAGACACTGTTAAGAAAATGAAAAGAAAACCCACAGATTGTGAGAAAACACTTAAAAAACACATTGATAAAGGACTTGTATCCAAGATATATAAAGAACTTTCACAAGTCAATAATAAGAAAACATAATTTTTAAAAATGAGTAAAATTTTGAACAATTTACCAAAGAAAATATATGGATGGCAAACTAACACATGAAAAGATGCTCAACACATTAGTATTATGTAAATTAAAACCACAGTGAGCTATTACTCACTTACTTACTAGAGGACTAACAAAAAACAGACAGACAATAGAAAGTTCTGGTAAAGCTGAACAGCACCTAGGAATCTTATACATCAAAGTAGGAAGGCAAAATGGTACAATCACTTTGGAAAATAATTTGTCAGTTTTTAATAAAGTTTTACGTTTCTATACAACCATCAATCTATCCCACGGTATTTACACAAAAGAAATGAAAACATATGCCCACACAAACACGTGCACATGAATGTTTATATCAGCATTATTGAAAACAGCCAAAAACCAGAGACAGCTCAAAAGTCTACCAACTGTTGAAGGGATAGTGCTTCATCGATACAACGGATATTGCTCTATATTACAAAGAAACAAACCATTAGCACACACTAGAACATCCATGAATTTCAAAAGCGTTACGCTAAATCAAAAGAGCCTGGGACAACAGGCTATATTCTGTATAATTCCATTTATAGGACATTCTGGAAAAGGTAATACTATATGGACAAAAATCAGATCAGTGTTAGTCAAGGTTTGGGGATGTGGGGAGAGGACTGACTGTAAATGTGTCCAAGAGAATCTTTAACAGCGATGGCACTCTTCTGTATCTGGATTGTCGTAGTTCCACTACTGTGTAACATTTGTCAAAGTCATCAAACTACATCCTTAGAAGGACTGAATTTTACTGAATGTAAATTATACCTACATAAGCCTGACTTAAATTGCTTAGCTTTCCACTGGTAGTCCAAGCTGTCCACTATTTTTCCAACGTATCTCCCACTCCTGGATTCACCCACCCTAATACATCAGCTAAATGGAATTATTCACCTTTGTTATTATTAACAACAACAGCAAAAGCATTAACAGTTGACATTTACTGGATAGTGCTACAGTCAGACACATGATAAAAGAAAAACACTCCACGTATATAATCTCATTAATCCTCATGACAACCTATGAGGCTCTATTATTATCCCCATTTAGAAATAGAAACTGAAGCTTAAGGAGATGAATAATTTGCCCAAGGTCCTTCAATGGCTAATACGTGACAAACATGGAATTTGAGCTTAGGTCTATCTGACTCCAAAAGCCTGACACTAAACTTCCTTCTTATGATTCCTACCAACATGTCTGTTCATGCTGTCACCTCACAGTATCTCTTCACTTCAACTTCATTTGCTCTAATCATGCATATCTTTAAAAGCAAAACTTATATGCATGCCTCACCCAGAAAGCTTTCTTAGATTTCCCTCCCAGGCTGGCAACCATCTCTTCCAAAGCATTAAAAGCTCCAATAGCACTAAATTGATTCCTTACTTACGACACTTTACATATTCTACCTCTTCGTATAGTTATTGACAAAATTTTCCTACTAAATATTTTACCATTTGAGGACAAGATCGAAGGCTTCACTCTTGTGTAACTCCGTTACCTAACGCAATTTAACTTAATGAATGAATGGTGCGTGGGCCATTAGTCTAGCCAGGAGTACAATTAGATGTTAATGTTTCATTCTACCCAAGCAATGGTACCGTATTATTAGCTTCTTAGAATTAGCCTATATTATATTACTGTGTTATCTTTCTTTCTCCAAATTAAATTTTCAGATAAAAAAACGAAGAGCTAAAAACTGACAAGCTAACCCAAACCAAACACTGTCTGCTACTTTTGGTACGAATTAAAAACAGGGCCAAACTCCTGGGCAACCTACGAAAGCAAATAGGACAGGAAGTGGCAAGGAGAGACTTGTTAGTACAGGGAGAATGTCACATGTCAGGGTAACAGGAGAACTCATCAGTGGGGAAGGTAATAGAGAAAACATTAAATTGCAAAAGTCTAGGCACATTCTTGACATTGAAAAAAAAAAATTTAAAAGTGGGGGGAGTGTTTGAGGTTTATAAAAGACTTAAGAGACCTAACAACCAAATGCAATATATAGGCCATGTAGAAGCCTTTGTTCAAACCAGTTATTATAAAAAGACATTTTGGATAGGTCATTTCAAAAAGGGCTTGTTGGACCAAAACCAGCTCTTAATGCTGTGACCAAAACCTGAAGTTCTCCATAGGATATAACAGTCACTCAATAGTGCTATGTTTTCCTGAGGAAATATAAGGTTTAGCTGCTTATACCCATGACAGGTGTTGTGGGAAAGTGAATAAAATGTCTCTCAAGTTTAAAAAATACATATCTATATAAAAAAGACATTTTGAGACAACTGATAAGTTTCAAATAGGAATAGGTGTTGGATGATATTAAGGAATTATTGTTAATTTTCTTGGGGGTGATATGATAGTGTGATTATATAGGAAAATCTCCTTAGTTTTTAGAAATACACACAATTATTTAGGGATAAAATATCAAAATACCTCAAAATTATTATAAAATATTTTAGCAAAAAAAGCAAATAATAATGACTGTTAAATATAGGAGATAAACATACGGGAAGCTCATTAAATAATTCTGTTTATCTTTCAGTGCCAAAAAAAAGAAAAGCATAAAGTGAGTTGTCACAGGAAAAAGGCAAGCCACATCCCAATTCTTGTTCAAAATCTCTGTATGACCAAACTGATCGAATAAAATCAGGCTTTTAAGAGTCCTGGTACTTTTTTGGTTTTGCTTCATTATATTCCACAGCGTATTACTAGTTCTACTATTCAACATTTACTGTATTCTACATTGTTAGGTATTTATAGTCTTCTGCCATGTTAGATGGTACACTTCGTGAGGGCAGTCACAACGTATTGTTTCTGACTTATGGTACACAGAAGAATGCCGTGTATCAAAAAGAAAACTGGTGGAATAGAAGTGCTTTTGAATTTAGCCTGTACTTGGCAATCATGAAGAAAACAAAGAATTTCTAAACAACAGTAATTTTTCTCCACACAAAACTAGAAACTAATTTAACAGGCATAGTATAACATAGGTATGTTTGCACATAACTATAAATTCCTTAAGCTTCTTAAAAGAGAAGCATAAAACTTCTTTGTTATCTATCAACTACACCAGAGGTTCTCAAAATGTAATCTGGGGACACCTGGGAGTCAGACTCTTTCCAGGAATCTGTGAGATAAAAATCATTTCCATAATAATACTAAGATGTTACTATCTTTTTCACTCTCATTCTCTCATGGTTGAATAGTGGGGATTTTTAGATAACTTGTCATGATATCATTCTGAAGGCTAATGGAATGTGTTTGTGTATTCTTGTGTTTTAAATTTTTATTAGTTTTAATTTCTAATATGGAACTTACTGATTAGTGCAATTTGCATAAACAAAGCTCTTTGGGGCCCTCGATTATTTTTAAGAATGTAAAGTGGTCCTGTGACCAAAAATTTGGAGAACTATGAAAGAAACACAATCTTATTTTCCAAGCACTGCTTTCTCACAGTCATCTTCAAAGGTTTAGGCACATGTCTGTGGGCGTGAATGGGCACCATTCTATTGTGCCCTTTCATGATTTTTGCCTGCTGCTCCTGCCACCTCAGAATCTAAAGGATCCAAGTAGAAGGAAAAGCCTATCAAAGTGTCTTGCATTATAAGATTACTCTAAACATGCTCTTGGCCAAAAAGTATCAACTAAATAACTTTAAAACTTTCAAGTTGTGAAATTTCCGCTTTCTCTCTAAGACTTATTGAAGAAGTTAGGAAAAGGAAAGAGTGAGGGATAGGGTAAAAGTGACTGGGGCTGATTAAGTGACATTTTCTGAAGATATCCTCCCAGTGTAATTGAGAATCCTTTGGAAAACATTGCTTCTCTTAATGACTTATTGGGAATGAGAAGCAAACAAGAAATGAATATTGAAATTGACTATCTATGAGGAAAATTATTAATACAGCACCTCAGACTCTGCCTTTTTAGTCTGAAAAATAAAGTGACATACTTTATCACAAATAATTTATTTACTTTTTTCTCCATTTTGATCTTTGTTCTTTCTGTCTCTGGAAGGCCTTCAGACTAAAATTGGTTTTGAAGAAGGTATATATTTGTCAATGCAGCTAATATAAAATTACTTTTGTATAGGATTTCTATCATCCTTGAAATTATCTCCCTCCCTCCATCCCTTAAAGAGATGAATATCAATTACTTGGGCATTCTGAATATTTTATTGAGTTTTTTCCCTAAATCGTGAAGAATTTGATTTCTTAGGCAATTGTGAAAGTCACAATACTTTTAAGCAAAGCTCAATAATTTCCATAAATCATTACCTTAGATAATAGCTTGTCAAATAAGCTATCCATTATCGCTACAAGCTTAGCTGATATTTCAGCTATGTGGTCATGGTAGTCCTGTAATGAGAAATAATGTTATATTTTAAAGTCCCTGAGACATACCTAAAAAATACCTAACAATTAAGGAATTAAATTTATGAAACTCCAGTAGAAAATATATGGAAAAGTACCTTAGTGATATGATCAAAATGCCTAAGCATGCTATATTGCTTAGGCTGTAGTCGAGCTTCAAAATGAGCCCGGATCACAGGAATGTAGTGCACAATTAACTGCAAACAGCGTGAAGAAAGAGCTGAAGATCCAGGCAGTGAATTTATTATGGAGAAACAAAAAAGGATATTAGTTAACTTTAATTACATATCAAATTAAGCAAAATATGTCAATTTTATACAGACTCCAGTTATTTCATAAATGAAGAATATAGTGGCAGAAAACAACATATTTCATTTTGTGTAGGAAAATCATTTGGTACCGAATAATGTAAGGAACACACTGCTTTTTCCAATGGACTCAAGTTGTGAGTATTACTGGCACGAGTAAGCTAATGGGACAACTGATTCTCTTCTGATATTCTGATACCTTTCACTCCCAAGTACTTCATACATTATTACATCTTAACACTTTCTATAGTGGTCAAACTTCCAAATAACTTCTATTTGTTGGAGTGGAAATTTCTTATAACATTTCTCCACAAGTTAAGTTTTCAATTACGGTAATACAGAAAAGAGTGAAGTAGCATTTGCTACTTTTGGAGCCTTGGGTTAAAGCCAAAAAAAATCAAGTATAATAAAAACACAATGAGTATAGTAACATCATTGTAACATCTCAGCAGGTGAATTAAATGCAATAATCCATACCCAAATTTTTTGTAGTTATTGTTTTTAGTCCAACAACTTGCAGTGCACCAGCTCCAAGAACTAACTGGCAACTTCTTGAATTGAAGTACTAACAAAGGAAGGAGAAAAACAACAATGACAATTTATTTAAAATTATTGTTTATATGCTGGCGATGGGTTAACAGTTTTAAAAATACATTCTTCTTTCCTCCCATTCAAGGATCAAATGAATTTTCTGGTAGGAGCAATTAGAACCTATTCACATAATGATAAAAAAGGGGGAGAAGGGTGTTTCTAAACGATATTTACTGTCTGGCAGGAAAAAAGTTGAGAAATTCTAAAAACAATTTGTTTAGAAATTAATCTTTAATTTGCATTCACAAAACTAGTTCAGTTTAAGTCATTCTTATCGGACAGTCCCATTTTCAAAAGGGCAACAAAATCTTTCTGGACTAAAATATGAGAACTCAATCTCGGGGCAGAATTAATTGATAGATGAGACATTTTTAAAAAATAAAGCCTTTTCTTTATGCTAGCAGTTAAAAATATTTGTTAATAAGAAATGGCTGAATTAAATTAAGAAATAGCTGAATAAAATTATCACATTTTCATTTTACATCAATGGTTCTGAAAAAAATGGTTTAAGAAAAATCTCTAACCTTAGTGAGATGAATTTACTTGTAAAGTTCAGTGAATTCCTTCCATGCACATTTGAAACCAGTCCAGGTTTTTGGACCTAAGTGGCCTCAGTCATGTTCAGCACCTAACGAACAAATCATCTCCTGTCTCCAATGTCATTAACAAGTCTAGGGTGTAATGAGGAATCACTAAATGCAGAGTGAGAAGGAAGCAGGCGGCCTTCTTCCAGTAACATGTTGTGATTCAACCACAATCAAATGTCACAAAATTAATGTCTTAAAGATATTAACCTTGAAATGTCAAAGTTGGAAGTTTAGTCACAACCTAATGAAATACTTCTTCCAACTATTTTTCCGTAACAGAGTGAAATCATACACACCTTCAATAAATCTGACAGACGAGTAAGCATGTCAGTAGTAACAGATGGGATATTATCCACACACTGGCAATATTCAAGGATAATTCTTATCAACAGCAATACAGTTCTATAAGAAAAGAAAGATGATCCAGTAAGCAGTCAGAATAAGAAAAATCAAACTGATTCAGCATATAAAAATCAATACTGATCTTGGTAACTGTTAAATTATGTGTTTTACCTACAAGAGCAGCAGAGCAGGGACTAGCGTGAGGCAAGAGTGATTCCCATGGGGCAAAATTAAGGAGGCTCTCAATTTCAGGGTCATGCAATTGCAGAGTCAGCACGTGCATGACATTGAGAATGAGTTCCTGCTTAAATTTTGTGCTATGAGCACATCACCCTCTGTTTGGCATTCTTATTAAGTAATCTCTTTGATAAGGCAGGTATCCCATCTCTTGGCCAATTCAGAAAGACTGACAAAAAGTCTACCCAGTGTTTCTGATCATAATAAGCCCTCAGTCATAACTTGAATTAATGAAGGGAACCAAGTCCCAACTTTCTTAGTGAGATGAAAGAGAAACTGTGGCTTCTAAGAACAACGTATCTCCTGAGAAGTTTATTGGTAAGTCACAAAAGGTTCTCCAAAGATGAGAAAGTTATCAGCTCATGAGCAGGACATGTCATAAGTTGAAAAGAGACAGTACTGAGACGTTAAGTAAGACTGAAATTAAGGAGAAAAGAGCAATACATTATAGAACATCTAAGTTCAATGAGATGCTCAGAAATGAGCGATCCATGTAAAATAATGTCTTATAAGGAAGTCCTGAAGGATATCAGGAAGTAGTGATTCAAGAAAGAGAGTGTCTAGCCTTTATAACAGCATAATTGTCAGACCATATATTACTCTCAATGCATACTCCTAGAGTGTGCTTTACTGGGTAGGAGTCAATTGCTTATCTTTTGTAATCTTCTCTCAGAAGATATAATATTGCCCCTTTAAACAGAATTCAATTTTTCAGCAGCAGTCTCTTTGCTTAAAGTGCCAGAAAG